TTTATTATTATTATTATTATTTTAAAATAGCAGTCAGATACTTTCATTTTTTTATTCTGAAACAAAATATATATTTTTAAGACATAACACAAACCAATAGGTAAATCTTTCAGCATTTAAAGACTTTAAATCCAAATGGAGATGTGAAATGTTACATGTAAGCCATATTATCCAATGTAAAAAAAAATGTAAAAAGAAGGCAATTTGTTTAAAAGTAATAGCATTTTTGAAAAAGGAAGACAGTCACTTGTTATCCAGGAAATATTTCTTTCTTTAGTAAAGCAGCTTCTAAATTACTCAAACATACTTATTGCATGACTGTTTTAACGTAATTAAACTGGAGTTATTTTTATAGTGAAGACAGAAAAACAAAAATATTTTTCTCAATTTTCAGAATGAATCTTAAATACTCTCCTGTTCAGCTTTAAAGTCTAAGCCTAGTTCTGACGTTCCTGATCTGGAGCCATGTTGGAAATTTCCTGATTTTGACTCAAACCAAAACAAAACAAGGATGTTTCTGAGAAATATGTATATTCAAATGCTTTTAGGAAGCCAAAGACATCTGGGTTTTCCTTTGTTCAATGTTTTTTTATAAACCACATAATGAAAAGACTTTTGGAACAGAATAAATCTCAAGTGGAAGAAATAATGAGAGCCTTCAAAGGCTTTTTAATACTTCAAATCAAAAAGTTGCACCAAGGTTTTTTTTTTCTAGCTAAGATTTTTAAAAGAAACCTTGCATTTATTTGCTAAGCATACAGTTATGACCACATCTAGAGCAGAAAAATATCAAACTGCTCATAAAAATTGCTTTGCGTTGGCCGTCTGCGTTACTGAATCCCTCACACTCGTAATCATGCTCAAATTGTTTCATAGCGCCTACATATGTTTCCTCCTCTTCAAACAGGTATCTGTCCAGAGATCCTGGTTGGTTGATAAGGTGGTTTACTAAGTCCACCTCAGGCTGTTTAAGCGCCTGCGGCCAATCCCTCTTAGAAACACCTCAGTGAAGGATAAATCTCACTTAAAACTATCCTCCCGTTCTGCCAACACATCTAAACACTCTCAGATCACTTTCAACCGTGTCCTGATGGGAAAGCGAGCCACACCATTACATCACTGCACCCTCCCCCATGTTCGTTGTTTGTACATTCACTCTCGCTGCCCGCTCTCCTCGACTATCCGTTCCCTTCGCCAATTACTGTACGCCTTGCAGCGTGAGACCAGCTCCCGTATTCACCCCCAGTCGAGTTTTATCAGGACACTGGCCACCTGGGCTATCATTTGCACCAAGCAGCTTCATCAAGATTTGGCCCACTGCTGGATTTAGATGCCCCCTCCCACCCCGTCCTCTCGTGTGGCCTTGATGGGCCACTGCTGGGCAGGGCAGGCCATCCGGGTCTGGCAAGGCTACACCATGCAGTGAGCCTGAATTATGGCCACGGGCCCAGTCTGAGATGCACTGATCCACACTACCAGCTGCCATCTTTCTCCCCTTCCTGCATGCTCCCCTTCCGCTGCTGCGCGGCTCCTCTCTCCTCTCATGTCTATTTTTAGAGCTGGCTGATTTCTAGCTTCTAAAATGGGCAAATGTGTTGTGGAACAGCAAGGTGTATATGTGTGTGTGTGTGTTTTTTTTTTTTTTTGGTTGTTGTTTTTGGGTCTTCCTTTAGACATACTAAACGCACACTCTCAGCCAACCCGTCCACATGTTTCTCAAACCCTGACCGGTCCCTGTTAATGCCACATTCCGAGACACATGCACATTCCCATTAGCATTCGACTGCTCTCTGTTCTCCACCCAAGGGAGATGGCTGACTGAAGGTTTGGTTTCAAACCCAAAAAAAAAAAAAAAAAAAAAAAACACCACAGCAACAAACAAAAACCAAACCCTTCTAAATGCAGCATTTTTAAGACAGGCGCTGTGAGTGCCTTTGCGGGACAGTAGAAGGGTTTCGTCTTTATGCCTCAGCTTTGATCTGGCCCGCCTCTTTCTCATCATTAGCTGCCTATCTGCAGCATTCTTGCCTTGAATATCTTTGCTCCATCACTCCCTACAAACCCTATAGTAGATTATACAATGAAGATACACACACACACAAGAGAAAAAACTTTAAAAAAAAAACTACTGAAGCTCCTCATGCAGCATTGGTGACAGTAGCATCTTTTTCAAAGTGCTGGAAGCGTGTCACGTTGAAAGAAGCCAACATGATGCTGGCTGCGTTGGCTGTGCAGACACGATACTGCATTCCCAAGAAACGAGTTAGATGAATGGAGTAGGGAAAAAAAAGATCCCTATAGAGCAGGAAGAAGCAAAACTTACTGTAAAGTGATGGAAGCAATGGAAACCACTATGCTTTAAAAAAGTGAATTCTCCCAGAGTGTGTAGTAACACTCATTCTGTAGGGTGAGAGATGGAGGGGGGGAAAAAAGTACTTTGCATCTTCCGCAGCTTATCTCAAGTCTTTTTATAGATGAACGACTTGGCGCGTTGGGATGTAAAGACTTTTTTCATATATATAAATATATATATATTCCCAAGTGAGAAGAATTTCACTCTTGATTTCTGGCGTTTCTGAATGAGTGACTGAAAAAGTAAACCAATTAGATATGATACTGACTTCTCTGTGTAGCTGCTAAAACTAGACATGGCAAAGAAGGGGGAAAAAAAAGATGCTTCCCTAAAATAAATCACGATGTGCACATTAGGCAAATGCCACCGTTTTGTGGTTTTTCTACGAAATAGCAAAACAAAAGTTTTCCTTTTTTTGTTTAAATTTAAAACAGGAAATTAATAGTTATAATAAGCACATTCTGTTAAATGGACTATATAGAACCTCACACAGTGACACAGTAAACAATACCATTCTCCCTTTCTGCTCCTTATTGAGTGGCACAAATATCACAAGTATGGGAATGTTTCTAAACAGCTAAAACTGTCTTATTAGTGTAAAAGTCTAGAACTCTTACTTAGCAAGCTGACCAGCAGTGTGCAGTAAAATAGCCAGAGATCTGCATGACGTTACAAGTGTTACATTTGTCATAATATAGCATAGACTTTGGTCTAAATGTTACATTTTTACAGAACACAAAAAGAGATTAAACACCCTGCCATAGCTTTAAAATATTTCAGTAAATACCATGATTATTCCTGTTTGTCACATCCAGAAATATTCCACATTTGAATTCACTTTCTTTTCTGTGGAAAGTTTAAAAATGTAGAAAATGTAGTAGTCTTCTTTCAACCAGCAGTGCCTAGCAACAAGTGGGGGATGGGGCTTGCTGCATTATTCTGCACAGGTGAGGGTGTTGCTGGCCACACCGACGCTTTCAGTGGCACTGAAATGAAATGTCTACAATCAGCAGCAATAGCGTGATAGGAAAAGTCAGGCGTTTCGAAGCTTTTTGAATATTCAGAATGTCTTTATTGATAATCGTCCAGGCCTAGTGCATATTAATAAATGATCGGCAATGCCAATTTGGTGTCTCTAATGGAAGCAGTCAGCGAATGAACACTTGTCACGCTGCAGAAGACTTGAGGCAAAGGAACCCTCACATGCACAGTGAACGGTTATACTTCAGAAAAAAATAGCCTCTCTGAGAAATATAGTCAGAGCATTTTGGAATATTAAGGTGACAGCCCTCCTTTCTCATGTAAACCTTACTATCTAAACCCCCTAATCAGAGCAGTCTGGGACCTGCTTCAATCCCCACAACCACAAATGACCTTACGGGAACCAGAACTTTCCACCGTAAAGCTTCCATCCCATCCCACAAGAAAGTGCTGACTAAGCCCAGACTCCTTCCTGTCCCGCCCTCCATCACCCTTCTTTCTTTCTGTCTCATCAGCTGTGCAGCACACTCAGGATCCTTGGAATGAAGCGTCGCCAGCCAACCCTTGTAAGGAAGCCCATTAAGGGCTGCATCAATATTTCATCATCGCTCACTCAGAAACATAGTTATAGAAGTTTCCAGGCCCGGGCCATTAGGGGGCAGACGTCAATACGTTATGGCAGCAGGCATCACTTCACCTCATGCCTCACTCAGGTCCATCTAATCTCTTAAGCGGAGAGGTTTCACTCAAAACAACGCCGCCTTCCGCTACTAAAACAAGTCATTAACCATTAGGTATCCGAGGTACGCGTTATCCGTTCCTGTTTAAACGACTTCACCTGTTAATTATCAGCCTATTCCAGAAGAAGGTAAAAATTCTCCCAAAGTAGCAAATATCTTCTAACTTAGAAAAAAAATGGACAGTTAACAGAATTGCATTATTATATAACATGACATAGACAGTCCTACACATCGGTTCTAACACTGCTTGTGAGATTTTGAGTCACGGCTGTGGAGACACGTCTGGCGCCTTCTGCAGCGGTCATCGCCAGTGAGTGGACGTTCAGTGACAGCGGGTCAATTGTCAAGGGAAAAAAAAATACAAACAAATCTCGTCTCTCACACACAGTGAGTCAAGACATGAGTCAAAGCTCAGATAGAAAACTTCTCATTGAGCACAGAAAGGAAGAGAAACCTAATTGCATTCTTATGATTGAGACTTTATTACCTTTATTTCAAACTATTATACCTTCATTAGCCAGGACTGGCCTGCAGGCTTTAGGAGACATTTTAACGAGTTTTTTCTTCTCCCTCAGCTCATCCTGTAGTGTCCTTGGAAGTGAAAGGTCCTGCTATCTGCATTTCATCCAGAATAATTTGGGGCTCTTTCTATGAGTCTAAATATGAGTTTGACTGAAGGTCATAAAGTTCATGTTAGGTGCAAACGTCACTGTCTTTTCAAGGTCAAACGTTTAAGTGTCAATCTTGCTCTGACTTCTCGCTTGTCACTTTTCCTGCCACCCCTTCAAGCTTCACGTGATCTCAGTCCTGTCTGGCACAACCTGAATAAAAGTTTTCAAGCACTCTGCCACGAACCAGCACCCTTCACTTATTGATACACTGAGAAAAATAAATAATAAAAATCACAGGTGCGTGACTCAACCTACCAGAGTGCAGAACCTCTCGGGTGGGTTTCCACACGTGATTCCGGGAGGATCCACCTTGATCCGCATGTAGTCCTTCATGGACGCGGGACTGGGCTGGCATGCGTAATGTTCCCACACCGAGCCCTCGTCCGTGCTCACCAGTGACTTGCACATGTTATACTGGCCGAGGGCGGAGGCCAAACAGTGCAGCAGCAGCAACAACGCGGCCCGGAGGAGCATGGCAGGCCTGGGGAGTGGCGTATGGAGCAGGGTCCGGCACAGGGTGAGGGGGCCACACGGCTCAGAGGAGAGGTAAAGCGCATGGAGGGGTGATCACAGGGAGAACGTGAGCATCCTGACCACCGCGCGACTTTTAAAAGGACTCGCCTCTCAGCGTTGGATTGGAATCCCTCAGGTGAAAGGAGACAGGTAGATACGCAACTTTCACTCAGCGTCGCCTGACACTGAGTGCACTGACGTCCCCCGGGGGAGAGACGAGAGAGAGAGACAGAGGTAAAGAGGTTTGTTGCTCGGGACGGCTGGTTTCCACGGGAACGGATGGGCGGATACCGTTACTGAGAGGACTCTCGGTGTGCACTTTTACCATAATGTTGTAGGGAGTTGGGTGGGAGATGCTCACGGGAATCCATGTTTCAGAGAGAGGGGTCCTGCAGCGGAACAGCGGCGCCGGGAGGGGAAGGTGAAAAAGCAGCGGCTGCGTCTCCGGCTAGATCCATTGAAGGGGCTCAGACCGCCTGGACTCCTCTTGTAGATCTGGAGCGCTGCGACGACAGTAAGAGGAAAAGTTCAATTAAAAAAAAAAAAACCAACAGCATAGAATTACATTATTTACTGACACTGCTTGTTGTGCAGCCTAGAAACTTTTTTATGAACGAAATGCATCATACCACACATACTTGCCACACTACTTCTTTGTTTCCACTGAGAGTTTAAACTTGAAGTCGTCCTCTCTAACCTGCGGTGCATCGCGCTTCAAAATTATTGGGCATGTAAAACCCGCCAAAAAGGCGCCTGTCTGTGCACCTTAATCTTGTGCGTAAAAACACGTGCTGCTGTCCGGTGCGTGTAATTCCTCTCGTGCTGCAGAGTGGGCTACAGATGTTGCAACCACGATTGCACTGTAAAAAGTACCACTCAACATCTATTTGGGTCATCCTTTTTTATTATTCTCGTTATCATCACTATTATTATTTGACTGGAGCTTGTGCAAAATGCAGAGTTGGAAGAATATCTTTTGTGGTTCCGTGGGGGCCAGAAAGTTATTATTTTTTAGGTTCATCGGGTGCATTAGAGAAACCTCTCAGCTATTCTTATTTCACAGCGCAACCAACTTTAAGCGGAAACTCCAAACTTAATTCAACTCTAATTTATTTCCCCTCCCTCACGCATTTATAAATGAGACCACAGATTACGCTTCCGTTGTCATTTCCAAGGATTGTAATCCGACCCTCACCCGCCTTGTGACAGAAGTCCGGTCCGCGAACAGCACATCCCGACCCACGCAGACTTTGTCCACTTGACAAGTAGCCCGGGCGGTTTTCCCCCCTCGGCACCGATCATTCAGGGGTGTGTCAGTTTCCACAGTTATGCACCCGACAGTGCAGCATTGCTCACACACACCGCACACAAACTGTTTATTGACTCGTTGCCTTTTCTTTCTGACTGATTCAGATTAAAGCTCAAAGAGGCCGTCTGTCCACTCCCGACACACAACCCCTCGCTCCCCCAGTGCTCCGTTTTGCGTGCACATACGTCCGGCAATGTAAACGCACCGTGTTGCGAAATGCTTGACCAGATAGAGCACTTACTTCTTGCACGCGTCTCTCTGAGGCCAGTCAGCGCTATAAATCCCCTCCGATCCTCCACTGTACTCGCTCCCCGCCGCCGTCTCCTCACTGTACTCCCGATATCAATCTGCCCTGCGCGCTGTTTGTTGCTTTAAAAAAATAAAATAAAATTCTTATTCTTATTCTTATTTGCGGTCCGCCGGATACTTTTTTTCTTCTTCCTATTTTCAGATCTTTCTTTTATCCCACCGTAGATGTCTGCGCGCTGATGGCTCAGCGGTGTCCTAGATCTGGGATCGGCCGGGAAAAGAGGAATGAATTCCACCGTCAGGGAGTATCAAAAGTATAAAATATTGAGTTTGAAGAAAGGCTTGAGCCCGCCCCGATCAGCCCCCCACCCCCTCTCCTCCTCCGTCCCTCCTCCTCCTGTTCCCACTTTACAAGCTTCGGGTTTACCCCGGATGCTCAAGGGCAGAAAGAGAGGGAGGGGAGGGGGGTGGAAAGGGCTTTATGGAAAATATCACCCTCCCTCCCTCTCTCTCTTCCTCTCTCTCTCCCTCCCTCTTTCCCTCTCTCTCTCTCTCTCTGTGTTAATGCCGAGGCTAAATCCTTTTACCATCACTTTCAATCACTATCTCAGCTTCTATCTGCTCCAGTCCAGCTACCTGAACCGGGGCGGTGCAACTTCCCCGGTGCGCCGCCGCTCTCAGTTGTCCTCACCCCCCTGTCAGGTCCGATCAGCACCGGGCTCTGTGTCCAGGACCGGGCGGGAAGACGGAGGAGCATCCAAGATCGTGACTAGTTAGTTTTGAACTATAGTTTCCGGGGATGAAAAATAAGAAGCTAGATTCGGAGTTCACAGCTGAATCCAATCACTTTACCAAGAAATGACCACGACATATGGTCTATAGGTATAGTTTATGTTTTCTTTTTATAAGTTTTTATTTTTCTATTATTTATTTATTTTAATGACTGCATTAAAGTTTTGCAGAGCATCACCATGGTGCTTCATTTGTGGGGGGAATCGGTGATTTCCCACATGTTCAAAATGGAAGTAAAACTTATAAGAGGCACTGGAGTTGTTGATTGGGCGATCTGACCAGGGGCAACACCCTCAGGTGCACCTTGCTTCAGTCCATGTTTTCACTTAGCTTGACTTAAGGCGGCCCTGAAAAAAGGGAGAAAGAGAAAAGAAAGAAAGAGCTACAAGAGAAAGAACCAAAGGAAGAAACAAACAAAACAAAAAAAGGAAGAAGGAATGTGATTATGAACAAGCATTGTAAGTATCAGACTGAGTTTTCAGGAACATCTGGGTCAGTGTTGTACTGTTTCCACATAGTAGAGGTCAAAGGGGAAAAGTGGTGGGGAAAGGGGAAGACATGCAGCAAAGGTCATCAGGCCGGGAATCGAACCTGCGACGCCGTATGGAGCACTAAGGCCTCCATATGTGGGTTGTGCTTAACCCCACCACCACCACAGCACCCCGAGTATACACATTTTTAATATGAAACAAAAATTGCAACACAGTAAATGATAAAGCAATTTTCCATGTTGGTACACCATCTAAGAGGACACGATAATTAGAATAAATACAGTAGCAGAGCATTTTATCTTCTATAATACAAATGTAAAAGTGAAACTAAGCTTTCTGTTGATGGCGATGGTGTTGAATAACTTCCTGGTTGAAAGTATATCCACAAGCAAAGCTACTGATTGTGCTATGAAATGCAAACTTGAGAGAGAAGAATAGCAGGTGGTCGGCAACCCAACTTTCATTCAACAAAATATTTCTTCATGTGTTTTGATCTCGCATGCAAATGTTGAGGTGCATGTTCATAGGATCGTTTAGTTACTCAATGCTTGATATTTTGATTACGAGTAGAATTATATTATATTTATTTTTATTGAGCTTACTTTCCCCCCCAGAATTAGCTGGACCTGTTGCTCCGATATCGGATAAGCAGAAGACGATGATGGGTGGATGGATTTTACTTTCTGCAGGTGTTTTCTTTCAGAGCTGTGACAGTTTTTGGGGTGTCATCAGGAAGGAAAGATGCAGAAGCAAAAAAACATAATCTATCCACAAGTTGTGCCTTCAACACGTTTTCTATTGTTCATATGTTTGTGCAGTCAACGGGGAATTGGGTCCCTCTGCTTGTTGCTGAGTCAGACTTTTTCATGTGACAGGAAAATGACAACACTTCATTTCATTCTAACCCCAGATATATATATATATAGCATTTTGTCAGTTTGACCCATCCTGATTTACATGAGTTTTCACCCTTTTTCCAAAGTTGAGGGTTTTAACAGACCCCATGTCTCCAATCCCTGTCAGCAAGCCCAGATGGATATATACCCCTCCCAAACACTGGCGCCTCCAGGGATCAATAGAAGAATGAAAATGTGACATTCGCTTCCATAAGAGGCAATTGATATGTAGCAACACAGACAGGCCTGTAATTGTTATCACACTCAAGCAGGCAAAAAAAAGAAAAAAAAAAGGCTCCTGCAGAACTTATCAAACAGCCACTGAGTCAAAGATGAAGCACAAACCATGCGTCGTTGTCGGAGGCTGAGAAAAATGATTCAGCAGCGCTCTCACCTTCACTTTTAAACCTCCAAAAGGTGCTTTGGGTTTCACTCGCTTTGCAGAATTTGAAACATTTGCAACAAACTGTCACATTTCCTCCTCGGTGCCCGTGATTTGAGCCAGAAGTTCACCACTGATTCAGCTGTGGTCAGAGGCCACCGGCCGGGCTCGAAACGTGACTTGGTATGATGAAGCTCTGAACAGCTTTTCTCCACAACCGGCTGCAGATTATACGTGTAGGCTGTGAGAGCCCGGCCGCATTTCGGTTCGACTCGTGTACGCGACTGCTCCGCGTTTCCTCCAACATGCAAGATGATCACTTTCCGTCAACGGCAGCCCATCTACATCTGCGTATGATTTTACACTTTGCTAAATTCACTTGACTGTGCATCGATAAGCCTGATAGAAATGTCAACCCTCGACGTGATGAATGAGTGATACTGTTTCTTGGAATTAAATTATGTTCACCCAAATAAGAGCATCAATAACAATAGAACAACCTGTCCAGACTTGTAAGCACTACAGTACGCCGCCAAACAATGCGTCACGGCCTTCATTTCCTTTGCCGGTGTTGCTCTATTACTGCACAGAGCGCAGAATGGTCGGGTAAAGATTTTCAAGCTGCTCATATACACACACGTTTTCTCTTCTAATTAAGTTTTCTTCTTCTTTACTCTAAAGAGTTGCATAAATATATCGCAAGACCAGACGAGACTCCTCTGTTCTTCTCCTCTCTTTCTCTCTCAGTCTTTGAATTTTGGCAGAGGATGGGACTGTCAGGATAGCCTAGCTGGCAGACCTTGATGAAAAAAAACACACAAAGAAAAGCATACCCTTCATCGAGGCCACCTGCAGAGTTTGGACAAGGTTCAGGACAGGACTCATCTCTCTTTCCCGCGCTCTGCTTGCTGAAAGGACAGCGCCGGAGTGAAGCGGTGGAGGAGTCTCTGTCGAGCATAAATCAGTGTAAAACTTTTGGAAGGTTTCAAACGAGCAGCGCACATGCAAAAATATTTTAAGTATTCAATGTGTTGAAACCGGAATGCCTTCTGACCAGATAGCAGGCCTGTAACAAAACACACAAAGATGCAGGGGGGGAAAAAGCACACTAAGTACATTCTTTATCGAAAAGAAAAAAAAAAGTTAGTCCAGTCATAAAAGTGAACATTGGTACGCGGCTCTACAAAAGAGGTGACTGAAAATCACCCTGTACTTTTATAAACTTGAACGTTCAGTGTGAAGTGGAACTATCAAATCTCTTATATGAGATGGAGTTTGGTAATTAGGCATTTTATGTGTAAGAGGGAACAAATTTCCATTTTATTCTGGATGTGATCTCCTTTTATTACTCTTTGTACGTCAGCAACATTTAAGTAATGTCTTTTTTAATCAAACAAGAAATGATCTAATTAGGCTATAAAAACAGGAACACCCAACTTCTCATCCCTCTGTTGATGTCCATTTGTTTTTAAAGTGATTCATGACAAAGCAGTCTATGAAAAATGAAATATTGTATGATATATCACCCATTTTAAGTCAATCAAAATGCTGCATAGTTTTACAACTTATTTTTGTATCATCAGACCAAAAAATATTTTTCAGAAAGCATTGTGGGTAATTTAGATGTTTTTTTTCGTTTGCTTTTTTAAAAATATGAACTCTTTTTTTCTTTCAGCAGGAGCAAGGCAAACGAGATCTGAAGAAAACACTTTTTCATGCAAGTCAAGGTTGGTCTGGGCAGCTTTTATCTCTTTATAAATTAAATCTTAATTTGAAATCTGCTTTTAGTATTTGCTGGGCGTGTCGCTGTTTGATATCAAGACTTGTAAAATGAACTCAACCACATAAGTGTGTCAAAGGAGCTAAAAATAGAATAAATCAAGCTACAGTTGTGTGTGAGTTTTCCTCTGTGAACTCAGTAAAAACTGCAATTAGGAAGATTTTATTCTGGGAACGTTACACCCAGGTAATCCCGAAATGCTGACAACCTGGCCAAAGATGCTGAGCATCTACAACAAGAAACAAAGAGGCCAAATCTGCCCCTGAAGATGAATGGAGTCGCCACATCTGACAACCAATTTAACAAGAAGTATTCCTTCACCTTAAACACAGATGGAGTGTTGCTTTTATTCTTTCATGCAGGTTTGAGAAATCCTTTAATCTCCCGTGGCAACATTCAGCTGTACAAAACGTCTGGGTGGACATAGCTCCGCCTTCGATGCAGTTCCTTCCTAGAGCTGCATCTTCCGAGCTTCTGCCTCACAGAGCACCCTTCCCCCACTCAGCTCCTTCAGACTAGCCAGCAGCAATTAGCAAACACCTGGTGGAACTGTGCTTCTGCTGAGCTCAGTATTTGAGGTACCTCTCAGTGAAACTCTTGTAAGAACGCTATTATAGGGGTAATAGAGGAACGATGATGCGTCGA